AGAGAGAGAGGGATGTTCCGCATATCTCCCTTCATGTGCACAGATGCTGTTGGGGATGCGAACATTGGCTCAAGATGAGAGAAAAAGCCCGTACTGAAGAGAGGACCTTTTGGTCCGTAGGTAGGTCGGGTTACTTTGTGGTCTGGGTTCTTCGGTGGTGTCTTCTGTTGAAGCCACATTGGGGTCCCAGGCCGAGCTGTGTTTTCTGTGCTTTGTCAAGTTGCCAAGATTCTTTTAAGAAAGCGTAGAACCTCAAGCATGGACCCTGCGAATGCACCCTCTGGTTCCAGCAACCAACAGGTTATGCACGCCCAAGATGCTATGACGACTCCGCAGCACGCGGGGCCAGTGCTTGAGGGAGAGACGTTGGGACCAACGTACCAAGGACCTGTCAGGGCGGATGAGCAGCCTGCGCCCGTTCTTCCGAACGGAGTTCCCCCGCCGGTGCGGCGGACTATGTCAGATATGGTGGAAATGGAGTCTCTTCATTATTCACCGCAGGCCAATCAAGCTACACCCGTCTCTGATCGAGGTGCCGTTCGTCAAGGTCAGGCCGTTTACGCAGAGGCCTGGCCAGCCCAGCCGGACCCTAACCGGGACGTTCATCATGCTCGCCAACCAGGTTTTTCTGCCTCAGGTTTTTCATGGGTTGCGAAATTGGGAGAGTTCCTACGGACCCAAGTTCAAGGAGGTATGGAGACGAGGACCACCGTGACGAGGCAAGTGATGGGACCTGGAGGAGAAGCTGGGAGTATGGTCGTGCAACAGGAGCAGCTGCAACACACTATGTCGCAATCGAGCTCGCCGACGAGCAGACCGCTGCAGCCAGTTACTGGGACACCGGGTTTTCAGAGACCGTTGGCAGATTCTGGACAAGGTCGAGAAGGAGACCTTCCCCTCTTTGGCCCAGGTGCGAGAAGGGTGATGGAGGGCTGGATGCAGCGAGCGCCGCTGTTATACCCCCAGCCTCCGCAGCCGGGTCCCGCAACGGATCCTGGATCATCGGCGTCTATTCCCCGGGAGATGGTTCAAGAGGAGGTGCGCAGACAGGTTCAGGAGGCCCTGAACGTTCAAAGGAAGAGCATTGAAGACCTTCGAGAAGAGAACCGCCTCTTGCGTACCCAGGTGGCTGCGCAACCTTTGAGAGCCAGAACTGAGGATGATGGTCAAGGCATGTCTTCCACGAGGGCGTACTTTGTGGATAATGATCGTGAAGATCTGCCTGAAGGGCGTCGGGCTTATGCTACAGGGCCCAGACTACCAGAAGGGCATCGGGCTTATCCTGCAGGGCTAGAGCTACCTGAAGGGCATCGGGCTTATGCTGCAGGACAAGAGCTACCAGAAGGGCCTCGGGCTTATACCGCAGGGTCAGAGCTACCTGAAGGGCGTCGGGCATATGCTGCAGGGTCAGAGCTACCTGAAGGGCGTCAACCTTATGTTTCGAGGTCAGAGCTACCTGAAGGGCGTCGGGCTTATGCTGCAGGGTCAGAGCTACCTGAAGGGCGTCACGCTTATGTTCCGAGGCCAGAGCTACCTGAAGGGCGTCGGGCTTATGTCGCAGGGTCAGAGCTACCTGAAGGGCAACGGAGGTATCCATGTTTTGCCAATGGTGCAGGTCAGGAAGGGTCCTCTGTTTTTCCTCGTAGACAAGAACGACGCAGGTCGTGGTCCCAAGGCCGTGAAGTTAATCCTCAGGATGTCCGTGAAGGTGACGAGGGTCAACAGGCACCCAGGTCCTCAAGTGTGGATCGCAGGACGTCACCGCTGGGAAGGACCACAATGAGGAGTTCATCGCCTACGTCGAGGCCGAAGTATCCGAGTGTCCCGCGAGGGCCGGTGAAGCAGGGTGGCCGTCATGGGAGTTTCAGTGCGGTAGCTGGTGGTGGTTTGGAGTTTCCTCCAGTCGATGCCCCCTACAAGCCTCCTGGGTTTCGTGACTCCCGGACGTATGGTGACTACGGGTTTGAGGGGCCTCCAGGTTTGGAAGCAAGGACAGAAGGCCCCGTACCAGATCGTGATGCCGATGGTGATGCTCGGCTTCTTGGAGCAGGCCAGCAGCCTGCCACATCGGCGTCTACCCCGTCGCCGATGGATGTGCTTATAACCGGCATGAGTCAGTTGCAACAGGTTCTGCTGAAGCAAAAAACAGACATGATTGACATTGAGGCGAAGGCGGTGACGGAGTTGATGAAGCTCCCTGAGTACACGGCGGAGACCGGAGCTATTGATTTTCAGGACTATTTGTACCTGGCGGAGCAGCAGATTGCAACTCTTGCTGCAGGTGCCAGCGACTGGTGGGCCCAAACCTTGAGGGTGGCCCAGTCCGCGTATGCCGAGTACCAGACCTTAAGCCCGGTGAAGCGGCTGAGTGTCAGTGCTGTTTTGACGCCAGAGCTGCGAGATCCCAAGTTTCAGAAGCTGGAGCGCAAGGTGGCCTCGCTGGTGCTGGCATCACTCCCAAAGGGGGTGAGGGACGACCTCATCGCCTACCGCGTGCAAGGGGTCCACCAGATCCTTTACCGCCTGATGGTAATCTTCCAGCCGGGTGGGGCTCAGGACAGAGCACAGTTGCTGAAGCAGCTTGATGTGACAGAGTCTGCAAGTAGCCCAGGGGAGGCTATAATATCTATCCGCAGGTGGTTTCGCCTCCTTCAGCGTGCCCGTGACCTTGGGGTGACCTTGCCGGATGAGTCGTTGCAGGTGAAAAGTTTGTCGATGATTGTAAGGCGTGTGGCTGAGCAGAACAGTGACTTCAAGTTCCGCTTGGCTTTGGCGCGGACGGAGTTGCAAGTGGATATTCGTCCAACTCCGGACAATGTCATGAGGTATCTGCAGCATCTGCTTGCTGAGCTGGAGCAGCTTGGAGCTATCGCCAGGAAGACGAACTCAGCTACGGCAGCTACCTCACCGGCAACTACGACATCGACGACAACCGGGACTACAGGAGGAGCGGGGGCTACAACCTTGAAGGGCCTACAGCCGACACCAGACCCCAAGGGCAAGGCTAAACCAACGCCTGGCTCTCCGATCAAGAAGCCCTGCCAGTGGTTTTCGTCGGATGTTGGGTGCAGAAATGGCAAAACGTGCACCTTCGCTCACTCTTGGACGGGGTTGAACCGGGGCGAAAGATGTCTACTTTGCGGATCAAAACAACACCGCGCGAAGGAGTGCCCCACCAGCTCTACGTACCGGGCCGACATCCATGACTACCGGGCTGAATGATTCAGGCTCAGTGGGGACGTCTACAGCCCCGCCAGCTGCTACTGTGGAGACAGGTGCACCTGGAACGCACAACAAAATGGATGCCACCAAGGTAGCAGAAGTTCTGAATGAGACGAACAAGATGCTAAAGGCTTTGACAACTCAGCAGGCGACCTCGTCGGCGGCAGCTACACCTCCTCTGGACCCCATCGAGATGATCCAGAAACAGCTGGACGAGGTGCGAAGGCTGAAGGTTTTGGTGGTTCGTGAGCCTCGGGAGCCGACTACCGCGTTCGATGGTGCAGTGTCTTGGTATGAGACTCGCTTGAAGGCAACGACCGTTGATGATGGCGATCGGGGTGATGAAGGAGAAGCCCTTTTGGATAGTGGGGCGAGTCACGCGTTTAGGCCGCCCGTCTCGAAGGACGAGCTGCTGTCGTCGCGCAAGGTGGGAGTGTCTTTGGCGACTGGGGAGGAGCGATCTATCCCTCAGAACTCAGGAGGGACGTTGCTTGGTGAGAGCGAGAGGGACTCTACGATCCTACCAATGGGCCAGCTGGTGACCTTGCTTGGTTGCCGGGTAACTTGGACGCCCAGCAAGTTGACAGTCGTCCACCCGGTGCATGGGCGATTGCAGGTGAAGCTGCGTGGCCACTGCCCAGTGTTGCCGGTGACCCAGGCGCTGTCCTTGATCTCCGAGCTGGAGCAGAAGCGGATGGAGTCTTTTGAGCGTACAGTACAAGATTTACAGCTCCAGGTCAAGACCCTTAAGGAGAAGGGCTTACAAAGCTGGTCTTGGGAAAGCCACCTACAAGCTTTGCGGACGAGCGGGGATCGCACGCACTTTGCGGGCTTCCTCCACAAGAATCCGGTTTTCTCCACCGTGAAGGCGGAAGTGTTGTTGGGAGTTCCAGAGTACATTCCACGAGAGGACCGAGACGGATGGAACTTGTTGAAGGGGACCCCTCTACCGCGGGCGAAGCGCAAGGCCCTCTACCAGAGCGATGGATGGGTTGTTCATCTGTTCTCCGGTGACTCGAAGTTGGAGAAGGTTAAGTCGAGCAAAGAGGTGAAGGCAGGGTTTTGGGCCGATGCCTTGACAGGGAACGATGTGATGTTCAATGTGGACCTGACGGACTCCAGGTTCATGGATGTGACACAGCGAGACAGCATCTTTCGGGTGTTAGCCTGGGGAGCCCTCAGCGGGAAGATCAAGTCCATAGTCGGTGGCCCGCCTCGCCAGTCCTATCCTACAAGCGTCGAGGGCAATGCCACTCAGCAGCATTCCAAGGAGGAGCAGCTGATTGTCAAGATGATGACCCTCTACTACTTAGCCCAAGAGGGGAGGACGGCGTTGTGGCACACTGGGAGACTGAGGACTATGATAAAGCCCCATGTTGGTTTCTTGATCGAACACCCGCGTGTAGATGAAGGACCGCTTGTATCTTTGTTTCAGATGCCGCTGTGGAAGATGTTTGCGCTTGACACCATGATGGGCGAGGTCCCGTGCCTGGTCAACGAGCGGAAGGTCACCCTGGGTGGCAACCTTAACTTGTGGCACCTACGTGATGAACACCTTGGAGGTTCAGGCTCAGCTGAGATGGGCTCGGTGTGGCCTGTAGAGCTAATTGCTCACCTTGCTGGAGGGCTGAGAGCCTGGGTGGGGCTACGAAATCATGAGAGTTTGTTGTCGTCCTTGGTGAGATCTTCTTGGGTGCAGGATAAGGAGGAGCTTAACCTCAACAAGTTCGACGTCCACGACTGGAAACTACATGTACAACGAGATCACCTCCCCTATCGTCGGGATTGTCGTGAATGCATTGAGCGTGCCCTTGGGAAACCTCATCGCAAACAAGCTTACCCTACACCGTGTACTCTTTCGATTGACACGGCAGGACCCTTTCGAGTGAAGGGAAACGGCGGCTACCGCTACTTGCTTGTTGGGTGTTACCGGCACCCGAAGTTGAAGGCAACGCACCCTGAAGATGAGAAGAAGCCGCTCCCTCGAGCTGAAGAAGCTGTACCAGGACCTGACGATGGACAAGATTGGATCTTGGAGGACTCCGACGGCGGCGAGGAAGAGGTTGTTGGAGGAGTAGGCCCCATCACATCGATCCTGGTGAACCGCCACAGGAGGAGGGGGATGGTGATGATGTCGACAAGGAGGTAGAGGCCCTCAAGGAGTTAGCCGCGCCAGTTGAGTTTGTTTCCGTTTACTTATCGCGACCGTTGAGGACCCGAAAGAAGGTTGAAGCTCTGAAGGCGATCCAGGAGATGTATATCCAGCTGCGAAGCTCCGGGTTTCCTGTGAATCGTCTACACATGGATCGAGCCAGAGAGTTTCAGTCGGGCGCTTTGGAGCATTGGGCAGCGGCCAGGGATATCGAGTTGACTCGTACCCAAGGTTCCGATCCTGCTCAAAACGGAACCGCCGAGCGGGCAGTTGGCTATGTGAAAATGAGGATGCGCATACTCTTGGCCCAGGCTAAGGAGCTGAGTGGTTTGGGTGATGATGTCATAAAGACCTTTTGGCCTATGGCGGCAGACACAGCAGTGGCACAACAACAGTCTATGGCGTTGGGTCGGAAGTTTCCCTCAGCTGCAAGGTTTGGTTCGCGAATCTACACCAAGCGCAAGGGCTATGGGACTGGTGGGTCCTTTGAGTTGAAGTCCAAGTGGATTGGTGGTGTTTATTTGGGTCCAGCTCGGACCGTTCCCGGAGGACACCTTGTTTACACCGACGAGGCTAACCTCTGGTTCACAACGAATGTTCGCCAGTTTGAGGACAGAGCTGTTGCGCATACCTCTGACGGCTCTGCGGAACGTGATCTACTACCAGCACGCAGAGTGAAGGGGAAGACGTCGGTTGTGGAGCTGGCGAGTGGTGCGGGTCTGATGCCTGGGGTGTTGCCTCTTGAGGAGGCTGATCCCTTGGAGGAGGGAGAATCCTTGAAGGCTTTGGCCATGTTGGCTGAGTCGTCTGGTTCGGAGGTGGAAATGGGTATGGAACCTTTGATCCATGATGGAGTTCACCTTTGCGAACTAGATGGAGAGAGCCCTACGACGACCTGTACTACAACCCCGCTTAGGCAAGCTAAGGGTCTCGCTGGTCAGTTTCTCCGGGAGAAGAGGTTTTCTATGGAAGACTGTTTGAGTGTCCTGGAGGAGGAACAGTTCAAGAAGACCCAAAAACAGCGAAGTTCCGCGTGGAAAGAGAACGATCCGCCTCCGGTGCACACCACGTTGGGAGCCTACCAACGGGGGCCGTTTGTGGGAATAACGAACGCCACCAAGAAGCACGAGACCTTGGCCAAGTACCTCTCCGAGTTCATGAAACGACATGTGGGTTCGGAGGCTTCCTTCTCGTCGTTTACGGTTGCCAAGGATCTCTGTACTGATGTACACAGTGATCGATTCAATCTACGAAATTCCACGAACTATGTCCTCACCCTGGGTTCCTTCGAGGGCGGGGGAATTTGGCAGCAAGGCACAAGTGATGAGTTTGCTAAGGTGTCGGTTGAGTCGTCCCAGGGCGAGGTCTTGGAGGGCTTTGTGATGCCGGTCAAGGCCAAGATTGTTCGTGTTGATCCTAAAAGGTTACACCGAACGATGCCTTGGTTGGGTGGCCCCAAGTGGACGGTGATAGCGCATACTATTGGCCAATTTGGCAAACTCAAGGATGAGGAGGTGGAAGCGTTACGTCAACTCGGGTTTCCTGTAGATGAGGTTGGCCAAGCACAGCAATCCTCACAGCCGGTGGTTGTTGACCTTCCTCAAGGCGCTCAAGCTGCTGTATGGCATCTGCGTTATTCTCCGGTTGAAGCCGATGAAGAGATGCTATCGAGAATGTGGACAAGGAGGGTGCTGGATGAGGAGGAGCAGCTTGCAAGGGTTGTCCCGGAGGAGCTCGTTATGGAATATGAGGGTGTCTTGGAGGCCAACGCAGAGGCAGGCCAAGGGCTACATCATCGTGAAGAGCAACGTTTGCCAGAGCGTCTAGATGATGAACAATGGTTGGGGCTGTGTAGAATGACAGAAGCTGATGAGGAGATGCATGGAGTTGAGACCATGTGCTCACAGAACCCCTGAAGGTTGTCTTCACGGTTGCCTTAGATGAGGTGAAGCAGTACGCTGGGCGGTGGTCAGAGGCGATCCATAAAGAAGCAAGAGCCCTCCTTGATGCAGGGGCATTGGTTCCGTTGACAGCTGAGGAACAATCCAGATTGGAGCGATCTGGAAAGCTGGTGGTGCTGCCGGCCAAGGGAGTTTTTACAGTTAAGCCGCCGGAGCTTGAAAGACTGTTGGATGAGAATGGTGATCCTTATCCAAAAGGCTCTCCTCGCTTTGTGAAGCGCAAGGCTCGGCTGGTTATATGTGGAAATTTCCAGGGGCGACAGGCCAAGGAGGATTCCTACGCGGGCGGTTGTCAGATTGACAGCTTGCGAACCATGTTGGTTTTGGCTGCGGCTAAGGGGTGGAGCATTGCGTCCACCGACATTCGGAATGCCTTTATCCTGGCCCCGATCAAGGAGGATGAAGAAGATGATGATGATACCGTGTATGGGCTGTTTCCTCCTCGAATATTCCAGATGGTGGTGGTTCCTTACTGCTATCAGCTATGGCGAGTGGATAGGGCCTTGTATGGTTTTCGACGGAGTCCAAGACTATGGAGTAAGTTCCGGGATCGCAGATTAAGAGCAGCTCGAGTACCGCATGGTGAAGGGTTTCTTACTCTAAGGCAATGCAAGGCCGACGAGAATGTGTGGGCGATTGTGTACCAGGAGCCCGACAAACAGGAGGAGGTCAAGGGCTACATGAATATCTATGTCGACGATGTCCTGTATGTGGGCCTCCCCGAGATTATTACGGTGCTACAACAGTGGCTGACGTCGGAGTGGAAGGCCTCAGATTTGACATGGGCATCTGAGAATGAGATTATTCGGTTCCTTGGTTTGGAGGTGGGTCTCTATCAAGGAGGCGTGAGGATCGGCCAACAAGCCTACGTGGACGAATTGATCCGACACCACAAGCTACAAGATGCCAGAGGGTATGGTACGCCCTGTCCTCAAGAGTGGCTACTGGGTGAATGTGAAGATGTTGAAGTTGAGTACACGGCCGAGCAGTTACGCAAGGCCCAGGTTTTGACTGGGGAGCTGTTGTGGCTGAGTGGCAGGAGCAGACCGGATCTGATGCACAGTGTGGCCACGATGTCCTGCCTTTGCATTAAGAACCCAGAGCTTGTGGAACGTATCGGCTACCGTGTGTTGGGGTATCTTAAGGCCACGGCGGAGGTTTGTTTGTGGTACAAGCCAGATCTTTCTGTGGAAGAAGTTCTGGGCTATTCAGATGCATCCTTTGCCGCAAGGCGCTCGTTCAGTTGGTTGCTCAGTGGCATGCTTCCTCAACTGTCCCGTTAGCTGGAGATGCGGCAGGCAGAGCCTTGTGGCTTTGTCTGTAGCGGAAGCAGAGTTGATAGAGGCGGTGAATTGCGTGCAGATGATGTTGGGCTTGGCAGCCTTTGCGGACGAGCTTTGGGCTATGAAGACGAGGCACTGTCTAAGAGTAGACAACCAGGCTGCTGTAGGCCTCACTACTGAGGCCGCGGGTACATGGAAGACTCGACATCTTCGAGTAAGGTCATTTGCCCTCAGAGAAGCTGTTAGGTTGGAAGAGTTGGCTATAAAGCACGTGCCGGGTGTCAGCCAGCTTGGAGACCTGGGGACGAAATGTTTTTCATCGCCCTCGTTTGGAGCAGCTTCGAGAGTTGTGGGGCCTTCGCTCGGAGAGGGACGAGGGCTCTGAGACAGCAGCTGAACCCACCGCCGTGGAACCCTCGAGGCCTACGACGACTGCTATGAATGGGATGGCAGGTGTTCTCGCTCGCTTGGCGTTGATCATAGGCTGGCTGGTTGATGCTTCAGCTGCGAGGGAGACAGAGACGCCCCCCGCCTTGGAGCTGAACTTTGCTTGGGAGCTCTACGGCATGATTATCTTGGCGATAATTTCGGCTATAGGGTTGTGGGAGTTGGCCAAATGGATCCTTATGCGATGCTGTGGAGATCGTGGTGATCTACAGCATGAGTCTAAAGAAGCCCGCCGCCTACGCAAGCTTCAACAGGTTGTGCATGAGGAGGTTGGGAAGTATGGGCTTGAGGTTGGAGTGAAGGTGTCATCATCAACCGGAGCCTCTATGCCTTCGACTCCGGAGCTCAGCACTACTCGGGCCCCAGCGTCTACGAGGATGGTTACAAGAGCGTGCCAGACCGAGCCGGTCAATGACGGTTATGTGCAACACACTGGACCCTTCTTCGCCAGTGAATATGGTGACAGAGTACACCACGAGCCTACGTGCAGGGGGTTGAGAAATGCAACCCACAGGACCCGCAGACTCACACTTTGTGCGTACTGCTACCAGAGAGATCCGCTCTATGTTCATTCCGACTTTTGAGTGGACGTCCGCGAAGCACTCCCGGTGTCCAAGGAGGAGTGTTGGTGCATCAAATTTGTGTGAGTACTTGTGTGTCATGGTGTGCTGGGCAGTGGGTTATGCCCTTCCGGCAGAAGCCAGCAGACTGTCATGTGCATCATGTGCTGATTCCCGATCCAGAGAGAGAGAGGGATGTTCCGCATATC